TACAATGAGATAATCTATGAGTGTAGCTATTTTTTTGCTTGAATTACATGTCATTTTTCTTTTATTCTATCATTAGTAAATAAATTGATATAAGTTTGAAAATGTGATTTAGTGTACAAAGAAAATAACATCTATGTATTTTTTAATCAATGTTTTTTTTAAGTAGGTTAGGTTGACTTTCCACAAACTTTTGCCATGTGTCATCTATCAATAAATTAATATTTTTGACAATGAGAAACATCTTTCTGACTTTTAAAAACATATTTGAAAATTAAGTACGTCTTAAGACCCTTCAACATTCTCCCAAGAAGGATAATCACTTGCTTTTCAAGAAGTTAGTATTAGTTGTATTTATTGCTAATTAAATAAAGTTTGAGAGATAGGAAATTGATATACCATGGTGTTTTGCCACTTGACACTTTACTTTATTCCAATCCTTGGTCAGCATACTGCTAACCTTACTATGTCTAAGAAGTGTTGCATATCTCTCGAACTGCATGTGATTCAGTTCTAAAGAATTTCCTATTAAGTGTCAAACTAATTGGTATCCTACTCAACATTATGACTAAGAGAAACTCTTAGCTGTGTGACATTGTGAAGTTGGATCAACTATATTTTTTTAGATAATAATAATAATAATAATAATAATAATAATAATAATAATAATAATAATAAATTGATATGCATAAAAAGTATTAGTGTAATATTTATTAACAATTAGTACAATAAAAAATTAACTTGTAATTTGTTATTTTTAATTATTTTCTCATATCATGTTGTGTGTTGTATACATTATCTACTTTATTTTCATAATTTGAAGTAGGTATATTTGATAAGAAAGAATGACTCTCAAATAGGTGAAGGTTTGAATCTTGAAAGTCATTATAACTGGGCATTGGTTTTCTTGAAGCATTACTACCAACTGTTATTAGTACAATCAGTGACATAGAAGACTTGTTTTGCTTGAGTTGTTATGATAAATGGTTCATTCTTATACCCAAGTTTGTTAAGATGAAGTGATATAATTTTGATTCATCTACTTGAATATCATGGTTACTATCAACTAGTTATATTTGAAAATAAGAACTCTATATTTAGTATAGTCATCCTCTCAAATTTCTTCAATGACTCCAAAATAAGAAAAAGATATTATTACATAATATTTATGATTTGAACTAGAGAAATACATGGACTCGGCTACTATCATCACACCACTATATGCACTATACTCTTGTTATCTAAAAACTTTGTATAAAAGGAAAAATTGGTGCTATCAATTCAGTTTAACATATCACATCAAAGTTTGGACCATGTACTAGCCATTTCAATATTTTTGAAATTGTATCATCCTTCATAATTTCATCTTCAAATCATTTTAAGAAAGTCTTATGCTCATTCAACAACATTTTTCGTTCATTCGAGGATTATTTTTATTAATATGTTTTTGTGAGCAGGCAAATAAGGTTGAACTTCGTCAATATTATTTAAGATATACAAATGTGCTTGTAGTACATCTAATTAACCTATGCCCTTAACATTTATACTTTGTATACCTTTATGATACCTGGGAAATGTTTGTGAGCAAATGTACTTGTCAACTAGTAATAAAATGGGTTCTCAAATTAAGTTCTTATAATATTGTCCTACAAAAATTATTTTCAATTATCAAGAATATCATGATTTAATTGTTTGAACCTAACTAAATAGTGCGTAATGAAGTAAAATAGCAATATGAAAGAATTAAATAAAAAGGGTAATTAAAAGATTAAGAAAATAGTGAAACTTCTGACAAGAACTATTTAAGATGAGCCTAAGGCATATGATTTCACTTTTACACTAATTATGTTATTAATTATTGAATTTTAGTTGGAAGTTGTTATTAGTGTATTATGGAGATATTCTGAATAAAAATTAGATATTTTTAATCCTTGGCAATGCTATGTGAAGTTAAGTTTGACTTTTGAATTTTGAATTTTGAATTTCAAATTTCAAATTTAAACTTAGATATGAAGATTTGGAGTAATTCTGATTGTGGATAAAACTGATTTGAAAAAACAGAGCTCAATCAACTGGAAACTCAAGGCACAACCTATATAAAGAGGCCTTATGCTTCAAACTTAAGACATTTTCACTTTGAGAGTTATTGGAGACCATTGGCAAGGACGACAAGCTTCCTCTTGGAATCCAAACAAGTGATTAAGCACCTTTCAGAGAACGAGAACTTTGTTCTTCTTTTACCTTTCTGGGTTTCTTTTGTTTGAGTTTTCCTTTGTGGTTATAGGTTTATTATCACGTTCTTCATAGTTTATTTTGTTATGAGTAACTAAACCCATAGCTAAGACTGTGGAGGATCCTACTGGAAACTTTGTATGAATTTTACTTTTAATGTTAGTATTGGTTTTTTTATTGTTTGATTTTTATTCTATTAGATTATATTGTGTATGTTAAGATTTGATCACCCTTAGCATCTCATAGTTAGTTGCATTATAAGCAATCGTACCACGTGTAATTAATAAAACTATAGGATAAAACGAGACAAGGGGCTAGGTTAATCATACTTAGTTCCTTTCTTTCAGTCGTTATTAAATTAACAAATTCATAGGATCTTCATACTTTCTCGACTAATTACCTTGTATGACCATTCGGGGTGTTTGCTCAAGAAAAAGAATATTGACATTGCATAATCATTAGGTGTTAAGAGAACTAATTATGAGTGGTTGGCAAATATTTGGATATCAATATCAGGATTAAATTAATTAGAACATAAAGAAGTGTAGTAGGTGAACCCATAAGTCTTAGGCTCATATCATCTGATCTCTCTCATACATTGTATTACTATTTTTTTTTAATTTATTGTTAACATTAAGCCTTATTTTTGGTCTATTATAATCTTGTTACATTTAAACAATTGAATCAAGTTATTCTTGGTAGTTGAAAATAATCTCTGTAGGACGATAACTTGGAATTCTTTTCAAAAACCTTTTATTACTTTTTAATGGGTACACTTACCCACGAACACTTAACATATAAATATAAACTTACTAGGATAAAAGTCAATCGAGAAAAAGAAATTGCAATTGTTATTAAATATAAAGATCAAATAAATTGTGCAAAGGATTCATCATAACCCTATTTATGAATTTAGTTACTCATAATGAAATAAACAAAGAAAGTAATTGTAAAGAAACTCATAGCCATTGGAAAAGAAAATGTAAATTAAAGGAATCCTAAGAAGAAAAAAAATGAGGAGTTCTTGTCCCCAAGATGCACTCTTGATTGCTTGCTTTGACTCTAAAGAGATATTCCTATGTCTTCACCAATGACCTCCACTCCTAAACGACTCCAAAAGTTGTTACAAGTCAGCTTGAAAACATATGTCTCAAAAGGTCTCTAAGAGAAAAGTCTCTTCTACAAGTGTGTGAGGCCTCTTTGTATAAAGCATACAATCTATAAATTATTTCTTTGCAGATCCCTTGAAAATCTCCAAGTTAGTTGCAATAGAAGCAAAGCACGACTATGGATACATTTTAGGACGACAGTGAATTGTCTCCTAGTCACTACATTTAAATTGCTTTTTAATTGATTGAGTATGACATTGACCAACTTTAAATAAACCTCAATATGATTTCCTAGTTGTTTCGAGCCCAAAATCATTATTAACAAAATAATGTATTTTCATTTCATGCACAACCGAGAAGAGAAATTGTAAGTTACCAAAAGAGTATGTCATGAACTATGTATACTACTTACGTTACCATAAGGATTCATTTCATTTGTAGCAAGTCTAAGCCTAAAGTTTCTTATCTCATTGTCAAACTCTAGAAGCAACTAATCAATTTTCTTCCATTGGAGAGAATCAGCTAGATGACACAACTTTCCATCATGTTATCTTTCGTCTATATAACGACGCCAAAACCTTGTTCATGGGAAAGTATACCAAGGCTTTCATGGTATTATTTTCGCTGGAGGCTGAGAAGAATATGAAAGTTGAACATATACAGTGGTGCATGATTTCTTAGAAATTTTTCTGACAATGTGGTTGAATTGCCACCAGATGTCGCCTTGGGGAGCGAGATTTGAAGTATTTGTTCAATTAGAATGAGTTAAATATGAAATCATAAGAGTTTGAAGTATCTATTCGATCAAAAACTAAATATGCAACAAAGGTGGTGAATGACATTTCTCAAGGATTATGACTTCACATTGTCTTAGTATCCTGAAAAGGCGAACATAGTTGTAGACGCATTGAGCAGGAAGTCCCTGCATATTTTAGCTATAATGGTGGCAAAGTGGAAGATGATAGAAGGGTTTAGAGATTTAAACTTAATAGTGGAAGTAGAACCTCAAAGTTTGTACCTTGGAACTTTGAAGATGATACAAATAGATTGATAAGATTCAAGGACTATGTGTGTATTCCTCAGGATGACGAATTAGAACATATGATATTGAAAGAGATGCATAAAAGTAAGTTAAGTTTCCACCCAAGAGCAACAAAACTGTATCAAGATCTATGAAGAAAGTTTTGGTGGTATGGAATTCAAAAAGGGGTAATAGAGTATGTTACAAAATAGAATTGCCAGAAATCGAAAGCAGAACATTAATATTTGCCGAGAAAATTGCAACCGTTGGAGATTCTTGAATGGAAACGGGATAGTATTTTTATTGATTTTGTATCCGGTCTGCTAAGAACTAAAAGTAATCATGATGTTGTGTGGGTGATTGTATATCGCTTGACCAAAATTGCTCGTTTTCTTCCAATTAATATGACGTATAAGTTGAAGAGACTAGCAAAGGTACACATAAAAGAAATAGTCAGATTGCATAGGGTACATATGAGTATTGTGTTAGAAAGAGACCCAAAGTTTACATCAAAATTTTAGGAAAGTTTGCAAGAAGCTTTAGGAACCAAGTTAAAGCTTAGTTCAACATATCATCCCTAAACTGATGGGCAAACTGAGTGAACCATTCAATCACTCGAGGATCTGTTGCAAGCTTATGTGATGGAACAACAGGGTGTTTGGGATAAATGCCTGCCTTTGGTAGAATTCACGTACAAAAATAGTTATCATGCTAGTATTGGGATAACGCCATACAAGGCATTATATGGAAGAAAGTGCAGAACGTCTCTGTGTTGGTACGAAACTGGAGAAGCAATTTTGCATGGACCAGATGTGGTTCAGAGGAAAAATGACCAAGTCAAGGTGATTAGAGAGAAAATCAAGATCGCACAAGACAAGCAAAAGAGTTATTACAATCAATAGAGAAAGCCTCTAGAGTTTCAAGTTGGTGACCATGTATTTTTTAGAGTTTCATCCATTACTGGAGTTAGTAAAGCTTTAAAATCTAAGAAATTACCTCCCAAATTCATTAAACCATTTGAAATATTGAGTAGAATTGGCCCTGTGGCCTATGAGATTGCCATACCTCCAATTCTTTCAAATTTACACCCAGATTTTCATATATCTTAGCTCAGAAAATACATTCCTGATCCTTCTCATGTAATTAAATTTGATCCTATTCAAGCTCAAGAAAATCTTTCATATGATGTATTTCTAGTGAAACTTGCTTACCATTGGACCAAACAATTGAGGGGTAAAGATATTTTGTTGGTGAAGAGGATATGGAATGTAAGCGATGAAGGAGATGCCACGTGGGAACTTGAAGATTAAATGATGGAGACATACCCTCATCTTTTCCTAAGCTAGTGAATTTTTGGGATGAAATTCTTTAAAGAGTGAGAAAGTTGTAACACAATTTTTTTCTTAATTGTATTTTGTTGTTAATAATTGTTGATTGTGTTTTTAATTAGTTGAATGTGTTTAAATTTGAAAGTTTTTGAATAAAGGCTGCTACAGGGAGTCTCGCTCAAGTGAGACATATCTCGTGAAGCAAGACTGATTGTTCTAGACCAGGTGATTCCAGAGAATTCTCACTTAGGCAAGAATGAGTCCCACTCAAGTGAGATAGGATAGAGTTACTCCAACTGTTATTTCACCCAGGTAAGATGGGCTCGCTCAAGTAAGGACTTGAATGAAAAAAAGACCAACTCTCTGGACCCCTTCTTACTCAGGCAAGAATCACCCTCGCTCAGGTGAGAATATCAGAAAAATCCTGAGAGACCATTATCTAATGTTTTCGCCCAAGCAAGATCGTTCTTCGCTCAAATGAGAGAGCACGAGTTTGAGGAGTATTTACAGGTTTTCTAGTATGACAACTTGCATTACAATCTAAGTAACATCTTTCTCCTTTTCTCTCTGATTTCTCCTCTTCCTTCCTCAGAGAAATCTTCTTCAAACCCCAATCATTCCTCGAATATGAACTTGAACATGCAATCCAATCGACTCCGAGTAAGTCTCTTAGAGTTTGATTCTCTATTCTCTGTTCTCTTTACTTCATTTTCTATTTTCTCAAGGATATCCTATTTTGTGATGTTTATTCTTTGAAAGGTAATCTCCACAAAACTCTTTCATAAATCTTCTTTTCAAGATAAGGAGAGCTCTATTTCATCATTATAACATAGTGCATATTTTGTGCTGACGAGAATACTATTATGTATTTCTTGCATGCAAATACATGATTGAATGATATTTGAGTGTTGTGAATATTGATGATGCATATTGGTTAATTTGGATGTTTGCACTATATTTCTATGAAACATGTGATAAGGAATTGGTCCGGAAATGATATGAGAAAACATGATGCTTTAACTGAATAATATTTGATTGTAGTGAAAGGATAATGTTGTATGTTGATTAATTTTAGGTGTTAGTACTATACTCTTATAATATGTATGATTGAGAATTAGTCTGAAAGTGCTTTACTAAGCACAATCTTTTAGCTAAGTGATGAAATTGATATGAAAAGGAATATGGGATGAGTACAAAGTGATGAAAGAAACTAGTGTAAATAGTTACAGAGATACACTTGGAGTATAGAGTTTAGAGATAATGTGAAAATATGAGAAAAATATAGGATGGTGAGCGACATTTGCATATGTGTATACACTCTTTCTCAAAGCGAATGCATCACATGGTCTCACACTCGTTTTCTGACTAGACTCTTGACTATATCTTTGTTAAGAAGCCTGTTATTGTATACGTTATATCTGTGTGCATGGGTTAACCAGTGACTATTTACTTATATACATAAGACATCAAGAAGTGTTGGAGGTAATGAATATCTGTGATCACAGTGCATAGAAAAGTGCGTGTTAGAGAGATAATTATAGCAAATTGTGTTGGAATAATTTGATTATGTGAGAATTGCTGATATATTATCTTTGTGATTGATGTGGCAAGATTTTTTTTAATTTATGATTAATATTTATGTTGTGATAAGTATTATTGAAAGTATATTATGTTTAGTGATAAAATAGATGATCATCCTTACTGAACATTTCAGAAAACAAGAATAATGGAACCTCAGAGACAAATTAGATTAGTAGATTATCTTATCAATTATAGATTGATCTATGTATTTAGGGAATATCAACGATTTTGTCATTTTAATTTTAATATGGATTATGATGATGAATCAGGAAGTGTATGGACTATAAAAATAAATGTATATCATAATATCCCTTTTGATTATGTCGTAAATAGTCATATTTGCCATGTCCTTAGTCTTTTTATCTATTGAGGGACTGTTAGGCCTCCAATGACTACAGAGTATATTTACACTTTTCTTGATCACAACTTTCTTGGAAAACTTACTTGATATACTTTTGAATGAATAATGGGTGTTGAAGTCATAGTTGATCCTAGTAATCTCAAAAAGGATGAGAACCTTACGCCAGAAGAGCTGGCTGAGATAAAGGGCTAGCATGGTGATAATGACTAAGACTAAATCTTTAGTATGTTGATTATGGATAAGAAATACTCGTAAGACTTAGCCTATTTTTTATATTATAAATATATGTTCTAAGTCCTACTATATTTTGTTAAAAGTTTATAAATATTATACTCTTGTATATAAATGAAATTTTGTATACTTAATCTTTATAATACAATTTATATTTTATTAATTTAATATCTTTGCAAACTTTGTGGATGCATTTATTTATAAGAATGTTTTAAATTTTGGTATACTATTCTACGCGTTTGAAAAGAAATTCATTTTCATTACTTCATTTTGTCATAAATTTCAAAGCAATTCCAATTAATAAATATGAGGTGTCACAAACTCTTCTAGTAGATATATAATATTCAAACTTTGAGACATTACTAATCAAAATTAAACATGTATCATTTAAACTAATCACTCTTAGCTAAGTTACTAAACTTTCTGTTTGTTTCAATATTATATATAAAAATATTACAATATTAAAATTTTAATAAAAATTAAAAATGAAAAATTATGTGTAAAATTAAAAACAATATGATATAATACACAATCTAATTGATTAAATGAGTTCTCTAATTAATTAAGACTTTTATGAAACTATTTAATTATAAAACTTAACATTCTTAATTGATTAGGCAAAGTCCCTAATCAATTAGGGATTTTTTATCTAGCATTTGCTATAATTTTAGAACTAAGTTAATCAATTAGTTTAAATATTTAATTGAATAGGCAAATGTTGTCAACTCAAATTTAAGTTTTAAAAGCTCAATAATTGATTAGGTCAAGTCTCCTATTCAATTAGCCTATGTTTTTTATATATAATATTGCAATAAACAAGAAGTTTAATAACTTAACTAAGAGTGATTAATTTAAATGATACAATTTTAATTTTCATAAGTAATGTTTCAAAGTTTAAATCTTATTTACCTACTAGAAGAGTTAATTTTTAATTAGGCTAAATCTAGATATCACATAATTAATTTAATTGTTCTATCTAATCAATTACATCAAGGTTTTGTTAACCTTAACTCTTAGGGCTGAATTTAAACATTCACAAATAAAAAAAATTATGAAAAAAATGCATAATTATTGCATTGAAGTTATAAAAATACAATAAATACTTCTCTTTTTGATAAAATTTTATTATTATTAGCTGTTTATCTTCAGTTCCATAAAATTCTTACATCAATTTTATTTTTGAATATTATTGGTAAAACATAGCCTAATTGATTAGGAGATTTAGACCTAACTAATTAAAGAGCTTCTAAAACTTAAATTTTAGTTGTAACACTAGCCTAATTGATTAGCTTAATTTTAAAAATGCTAGACAAAAATTCCTAATTATATAGGGACTTCGCCTAATCAATTAAGTAGGTTAGGTTCTTTAATTGAATACTTTCATAAAGTCCTAATCAATTAAGAAACTCGCCTAATCAATTAGATTACACATTTATATCATATTATTTATAATTTTACACATAATTTTATGTTTCTAATCCATATTAAAATTTTACACAGTTAGAAATATAATTAAGAGGATTTTTTGAGTTTGTTTAAGTATGAAACACATAAAGTAATGTATGCGCTGTATAAACTCTAATTCTTACTTTTATTGAACTCATCGTGCATATTTTTTGCCTATAGAACTTCAACTTGTATTATTCTCTGAGAAAGTTTCTTTGAGTTTTTTTTCTTCTTTAACTCCATAAAAGTTTAGAGAATCCTTTTATTGTAAGGGTAGAGAACCCTTGACAGAAAAGCTTTAAATTTGAGTGTGGTATTAATGTTTGTTACAGTGAAAATTCTCAAACAAAGCTTATTAATTGAATATAAGTCAAGTGATTGGTGATTAAATAAGGATAAACTAAGTTTGTACTTCTCTATCCTTATACTCTTTTTATATTTTATTTTAATCTTTACTGCATTTAGTTAATTATAGATAACTTCAATCTCTTTCTTATATTATCCATTCATTCAATTTTAGATTAAAAAAAAAATCTTATAAAACACAGTATCTTTAACTTGTAAAACTAAATTTAAAAAATTTATAAAATTCTTATAAAATCTATAAACACAGTATCTTTAAAAAATTTACCCTTCCTTTTAAATTTTGAAGTGTGACAATAAACAGGCATGAATGTGCACAAAAAGACACAAAAAGTTACAAGAACGTCACTTTATTCATGTGTCTCATCATTCCAAGCGAGACGACTTAGTTATTCCAACAAAACACAATTTCAAACACAACAAATAAAGCCTGTTTCACGAATTCATGCGTATTTAGTAGCTATCTGCAGGAGAGAATCGCACACTTGTTGAGGCTTGCTAAGCATAGCCATATGATCAGCACCTTTGATCTCCAGAACATCATTGATCCCAGCATTTTGAATCATCCAAAGCTGGAATTTCAATGGAATTGCAAAGTCCTCAGTGCAAACAATAAAAGCACATGGAACTGACCCATATCCCTGTTTGGAGAAGTTGCACTGCTGAGACAAGTCTTCGGAAAAGAATGATGATGGCCTTAGTAAAGTCTTGCCCAATTCTAGATCCTGCAAAATCCATTTCTTAATATTATTGTTCCCGATTTGATACATCAGATTATATAAGATGAAGTCCAATTAAACATGTAATTTTTCGGCAAGCATTACTCAAGCAAGTGTAGCAGACAAGGAGAACGTGTAATTACCTCAATTGAGCCGACTTGGTAGAGTTTCTCCGCCAACATCTTGCGACCGAAAAGAAGTAAAGTTTTGTTTCCATCTTCGGGGAATTCAGAGTCCAACCAATGCCCCTTAGGCATAGTCTCATTGTACTGTTGAAGTTAACAAAAATTATAAAAGGAATATAATGGAAAATTATTATGAAAAAATATTCAACTAAAATATTATTATGTAAAAATACATTTAACTGTTCAATAATAATATTTATTTTAGAACTGTGTTTGAACGTACTTTAAAATAATAATAATGTCAAAATTATAATTAATAACATTAAAAAAACATAAACCTAAACACACACACTTATTATTAAGAGCTTAAGTTATGGAAAAAAAAAAAGGTTTTCAGAGAAGTACATTAAAAATGGTACATTTTTATCGTTAAAATAATTTGAATAGACAAAGAATCTTCCAAGTATCCCAAGAAGAAGTGTTTTCTTTTTATATATCTTTTTTCTTTTAGAAATAGTTGTCTCTTTTACTTAAATATATTTTTGAAAGTATATCTATAGAAATATATAAAAAATAAATAATAAAAACAATATATTACATTACCTATACGATTAATTTTTCATTATTTATTTTAAGTTGTCCATAAAACATAAAGATTTTACGTACTAATCTCTAACTCTTGGACCTAACTTTAAACACAAAATAATAACCTTTAATAAAAAAATGCATTTAGTATGGGAAAATTATAAAATATCATGAACGAGTTTTTAAGAAAATTAAATTGATCAAGTTTACATTTTCCGTAACATAAATGTTGTGAGAAGCAAACCTTGTCCGTGACATAGGAGGGCTTATGTTCAGTGTCTGGAGCAAAAGCTGATAAGAAAACACCAACTGCTACCTTTTCTGGGAATTTATCCATGGCAAGTGCTATATTGAGTCCCCCAAGGCTGTGTCCCACGATAATTACCTTTTCATTTGGAGGAATTGTGGCCATTAGCTGCAACAAAGGCTCGGAGTACTGTGAAAGAGTATTAACATCTTCAATTTTCTCCAAGTTGATGCCAGAGGCTGCAAGATCAAGCATTGTGACCTTGTGACCAGCAGATTCCAAACGTGGCTTCAGCTTGTACCAACACCAGGCCCCGTGGCAAGCCCCATGCACCAAAACGTAATGCTTCTTTTCAATGCGATTTTCAGTTCCCATAATGTTTTGTTGTGGTTATTATCATTCGCACTCCTTCCTATTTATAGACAATAATTGATGTCGGTGGGGTTTGGTGTCATGTGTTAATAAAATAATCAGAGCATTGAATAGTCAAACCAACCGCATTTATTGTTATTTTTAAATTAATTATTATTTTCTTTCAAGGAGATAGTTAAGAACACATTTTTAATATGCTTTCTTAACTAAAATCTATAAAAATTTGTAAAAGAATAAGAGAGAGTTATTAAATTAAAAATAAAAAACTAACAGATTATTTCTTTTATATTTTGTCTGATTTTGGGAAAAAATTGAAAAGATAAAAATAAATAAATGAACAATAAAAAAGTATATTTTTAAGTTATTTAGTATACAGAATATGAAGGAACGTAAAAAGTGAAAGAAAACAAGTTTTTGCATAGACAATTTATGTTTCTGAGAAAGATATAAATTTTTATAATATTATATTTATTGTATTATTTTTACTATAATATTTATTTAATATATTTAATCAAATAATGTAAATATTAGTTTGAAACTATTAAAATATAATTTCCAACACAACCACAAACCAGCACTGAAACTAGAAAGGGAGAGATTTTTGAACCCAAGAGAAGGAAGGACATAAAACGAATAGACAAAAAAATTATACTCTATTAATGTCTCACAAAAAAATTCAATATTGAAAAAGTTATGTAACTAAGTTATTTTTTTCTCTTGCTTTTAAATTAGTTTTGCTGCTATCTTAAATGCATAAAAAAACATTATTTATTTATTTTACCATTGTTTTCATGATTTTTTTTTTTAATAAAACTAAGCGGGGTGTTACATTCTAATTAAGTTGAATTAAATGGAATGGGTTTCTGCAACAAAAAATGAGAGTGGAAGTTGAGTAGATTGCAATGATGATTATCTTGTTTGTTTCACGTGGATAAGAGTGGAACAAGTTTCTCCTTCATTCTTATGTTTGACAAGTGAAATTAATAAAAATAAAATAAAATAACGTTTTTCATTATTTTAGTCTTTCATAAATGTTTTATAAAATTTATTTTTTTCACAGATTTAATTATCACCTCATTAATTTTTACATAGCATTAATCCCTTTTTAAAGATTAATAAGGTAGTATTTTATTTTTCTTAAATAATTTAGTTACAAAGTATTTTTATAAAGCATTAATTTAGTGACAAAATAATCTTTAAAAATTAATGTAATAATAATTAAAAGTTTTATTAGACTAATTTAAATTTATTGGCATAAATCTTTTAAAAAACTTGTTCAGTGACCTTTTATTTTTAAGGAACAATTTGACTTTAAAACATAAATAGCATACGATTTCCTTAGAGGGGGGATATTGAATTGTTTAAGTGAAATAACGTATTAATTCCCTAAATCATACATGCTTCTGCTTTTGGAAAAAAGCAAAAATAATAATAATAATAAACAAATTAACCTTTTTGCAACCGTCTAATCAAATAAGAAAATGGGTTACGCATTCTTTTCTTTTCACATTCGCTTATGGAATTCAAGAAGATTCCGGCATTGACTTTTGTATTTTGTTTAGGGTTTAAATTTAATCACGAGAAAGAATTGTTTTAACTAATTAAACTGAACGCTTCCATTGCTTAAAATTTTCGTATTCTAATAAAAATTTTAAGAGTATTTTTCAGTCAAAGAAAGATGTGTGCTCTTATTATCTAAAGATCTGTTATTACAACTATTATCTCAGTAATTAAAAATGAATATATCATATATCACATGACAAAAAAAAAGGTGTTTCTATATTAAAGAATTCATGTTGCTTTCATTAAATCTATCCAATTAATTATTCTAATAATTTTTCAAAATATGAAATTAGAAACTACTAACTTTTTTTTTCTCAGAACATGTGTAGGGCTTATTCGGAGTGAATCTGAGATTTTAGTTTTTAATTTGTAAACATTAATTTTAAAATAAAATATGTTATATTAAAATAAATTTAAATTAGTTTTAAATATTTTATCTTATTTTTAAAATTTAAAAATATATTTTTAATATTATTAATAAAAACACATTTAAATTTTATTTTTTAAAAATTATATATAATATTTTATGATTATTACGATCATTTTATAACTTTCATTGAAAGTTAATTATTGTGACTTTTTACTACAATCATGGCTAATTATTATCTTTAGTACATGATTATGATTATTACCGTCATTTATTTTATTACAACAATTATTATTGTTACTATTATTATAATAATAATTATTAGTGAATTATTATAATTACAACTATTATTATTATTGTATCATTATAATTGTATTATTATTATTATTATATTTTTTGTTATTTTCATATTATTAAATAATTAAAAAATTTATAAATAAAAATAACTTATACGATTAAAATTCAAGTAAAACTAAAATTTAAAACCATAAAAATGTAAAATTAAATTTTATAAAGTTAAAAGAATGAAAAACTTTAAAAGAGTCAATCATACTTAAATAAGACTTATCTCTTACAATTTAATAAATTTTTTATTAAATAATAAAAATTAGGAGAGTTTTCCAACGATGGAGAATGATGCAATCTTTTAAAGATTACAAGGCAGGCTTATATTTGATGCATGACCTGTTTCATAAAGGTAACCAGATTAATCATTTACTTAAAAGACTTTTTATCATTTTTTTTACCAAAAAACAAATAAAAGATAAATATTAGGTACCTAAAAACTCTACTCTTGAATTAGCAGCCAAAAGAATATTTTTTATAATCACAAACTACCGCAGTTGGGAAGTTCCTTTTTTAGCTCGGTGGTTTACACAAAAATCAGAATAATTGACATATTACTCTTTTGTAGTTCTTCTTCCGTATAATATTTAATATATGACCCAAGCTGGCATATAAATCAATTATCCAACTACTCTCTGTATTTTTTATTAAGCTTTCAAACCCTCTTGGACTTGGGTTATCCATAAAGCTCTCATCTGCACTAATAATCATGTTATCTTCTTGTTGAAGAAATCACTTTATCCACCTCTCTTTTCTCAGTCTACCAAGTTGAGTAGACCTTACAATGTTATAAGTCCAATTTTACTTTTTTATCTAAGTCAAAATAAAATTTTTAGACCATACAAACCATTCAAACACCTGATAGTTACAATTCCTCCATACTATCTAAAGGGTGGGAATAACCCACAAAGCCTTGCACTTCCATAAAATTATTATCCGAAAAGAAATTCATCATATATCATCAAATCCTAACAGTATTAATTTGGACACTCTCATAAATGAATCTCATCCTCCAGCTACATGTTACAATGGATGCATAGGTTTATTAATGAAAATATATTATGAACATAAATTTATATTAATTATTACATAAATTAATAATTTTTACGGATTAACAGATTAGGTGATGGCATAAAAAATATACTGTTAATATATATAAATTAAATTAAAAACTAATTAAGTAATGCATATAATTTAAAATATATATGGAGTTAAGGATTTTATCTAGAAATAATAATAAAGGACGCAAGTACAAGTAACAGACAAAAAAGAGTACAGAGTACTGTTAAAGATATATATTAAATAACGTGTCAAAAGTGGAGTTTCTCCTCAAGACGATCACTACTTCCCTTGGTATCTCATGTGTGGGATGGTGGCTCCTATAATTTTTATGGTTTTATTTTTCTTTTATTTTTTGCTTTTGCTAGCTGTGTTGAGTAGGAAGCGTGTGTTTAATTTCTTGTCATCTGATTTGGTTTTGATTGGTGCAGATCACCTACAAACTCACATTTTCTTACATCACATTTAGACCTTAATAAAGAGAACAGTTATATTCTGAACTTCCCATAAAATTGCAATGGAAACATATGTAATAGAACATCTGCAGCATCAACAGATATTTTCAGAAGTGAAAATTAAGGACGTGATGTCAAGAATTACGTGTAAAAATTGATCTCTCTATAACCATTATTATCATCCCCGTGTGATTTATCTGCATTAAACATTTAATATTTTCATTTATAATTTTTTATTGGATGCAAATATTATTATTTAATATTAATTTGATTTAAATTTATAATTATTGATACATCGAATTAAATTTAAATTAATTTTTATTTTTAAATAAGCTGAATTTTAATATTATCATACTCTTAATCAATCTCAACTTAAAACGCATTTTTAAATTTTGAATTATGAAACACCATATCTTACCATTAAATAAATTTTTTATTAATTTATTTCTTATTTTAAAAGTCTTATATTTAATTTTATTATTTAATATAATAAAAGTAATTACTAAAAATAAAAATATGAAATATTTTCTTTAATTTAATTTAATTTAATAATTAAAATATCCATAGAATGCTGAATTGTCATTTATTTGCAGAATTGTCTATCAAATCGCATCAGCACGGTAATAGCAAGATAAATTAAGCGTTTATTTGATATAAGGTTGAAACATTAATTTTTTTTGTTTTTAAATAAAATTACACATTCTTATAAAGTTTACAATTTAAATGACTTAAATAAGGTTTTATTTCTTAAAATTTTGTATTTTTTTTATTTGGCTCTTCATTTTAAATTTTTTTAATGTGCTCTCTTGAAAATCATTGTTTGTTATTTGATCTATCTATTAGTAATTTGTAAACTTATTTTATTATTTGTTTATATAACATTCAAGTTGGTTGATATAACATCAACTGTTGCATCATTAATAACGGTCGTATCTTTTGGTATTTTTAATGAAATTTTAGGTTTTATAATTAAAATTTTTGAAATTGAGACAAAAAGATATGAAAAAAAATAAATGAAAGTGTAGATGCAACATTATCCTCTTCGTTATTATGTTAAGTGTTACATAGATAAATTAAAACTAAAAATAATGAGTTATTGGAGAACTAAAACCTTATTTAAGTTAATTTAAATTTATTTATTTATGTGTTTTAATTATATTTAATGATGCAAACTTAATTTTATCAAACTTATTTTAAAACTAAATGAGTATTAAATATCCC